GTGCAAAAAATGGGAAAGCTGCCTTCTTATAAAACTCCAGGTCTTCTAAAAACATCTCAAATCCATGCAGTATCTTACTTAATTCTCAAACAAGAATTTCATTCTTGCCATCTATATGCTAGATTTAATTAATCCAAAAGGCTTAAACTCCCACTTAAAAGCAGATGAACTGCTTTATTGTGGTGTTGGTGCTCTCTTCTGAACAGTTAGTGATGCTGTGTGTCAGAGCAGCTATCTGATGTCAGTTGCAACATGGAAAACACAGGAAGGCAGGTCTTGAGTAGGTGTAAATTGTCACAGCTCCCCTGAAGTCAAAAGAGCTGGAATTGTTGATTATCTGCACAAAGACTGTTCTTTGGGGTATACTGCAATATGGGGAAAGTGGAAACCTATTGGAGGGCTGAGTGACCATTTTCAACAATAATATTTTGTCTTCAAGAAAATGTTTGGTGTGGTTGAGCCTTTCTGCGCTCACCAAATTAAAAACACTGTAGCAAATGATGGCTTTGAAAGGAGGACAAGGGAAATGGCTCTGGATGTTTGTAATAGCAAACACTGTTTCTTCAGCTGCTCCTTTTGGTACCATTTCCTTATAGCAAATGGTTATGCTGCACACCTGTCCACAGCACAAGTCTGAGTTGCACTGAACACTGAGGGTTTGTCATCATTTACTTAGCTAGGATACCTAAGTATAAAGAATCTGCTTAATTGGAAATAATGAGGAACTAGCCTTGCTGCTGTGGTGAGGCAGAGCTGTGTTACAGAAATATCTGCGACACCTTATTTTCTCTATCATTTAAATACTGGACAGTTGAGCTGGTACTTTTTTTCTCCCAATGATGATGGACTCAAGTGAGTTTAGAATAAAAACCTATGAACTGGGAAATCTTGTAATGTGTTTACGCTTTAGAGACTGTGATTGCACAGATTCTCCTGCAGCTGTTGCTAAATCATTTATCCTTGATTATAATTTATTAAGCTTTAGGGATATATTCACATTTAATGAATACTAATAGTCAGGAATTTTACCTCTCCTTTTTTTCTTTCCTGGTTACTTGTTATCAAGAATAACAGCTATTAGGCTGGGAACTTGAACACCACGATGTATGGAACTGAATAGCTGGAATCACCACAATTATTCCAATATTTGGGATTTAGTTGTACGTGTGGTAAATCTTCTGGAAGGTGTACATAGTTTTACAGTCAGTCTAGTTTATAGATATAATTTTCCAGATTAATAATACTGCTTTTTCAACTACCTAACTTATTTCATTTTTTTAAAGAACTTATTTACAGAACCTTTTTGAAACAGGAGAAAATATGACTACATTTAGAAAGCAGAGAAGGCACAAGCAGACAGTAGGTTTTCACTTCTAAATAACAACTAAAATGTATTTCACTGTGGCAGTATTAGAAATTAGTGCTAAGGTTCACTTAAAGGTTTAGGTCAGGTTGAACGCTGTCACCTCTTACAGATGGAAACAAGGAAACAAAAGAAACTTTGAGTAAGTATGCTCCGGTACTTAAATATTATGTTAACATCATGCTTATGCTTTCAAATCAGATTAGCATGTAAAAATAGCAAAGACTCAGTACTTTGCTAGAATGCCATCTGATGGTCCTCAGGGTGTAAAGTAAATTTTCAGGTATAATTAATTATAATGGAATGGCGTTTATTCATGACAATGCATAAGCTTTATGAGCCCCTTGCCAAAAAGTCCAGGTCAAGGTTGGCAGGAATTGGGGCAGGGAATTTACAGACACGGCTGTATCTCTATACTGCTCTTAGTATGGTTTTCTGTTGGATGGATGTCTGTTCTATGGTTAAACAGTTTGATTGAAAAGCTGGAAATGCACAATGGATATAGATACTAATTAGGAGGCCTCTAAAATATTATGGATCTAAGTTAACCTAGGTAAAACCTTGCAAGTAATAACCTAAGGAAGACTTTGTATGGAAGAACTGCATGTCAAGTGGCTCATTAAAATTGTTTTTCATGTTTTAAAACTTTCTGAATTGCTGATGCAGAGAATGAATGTATATATATTGAAGGCTGTGCAGAGTGGAGTGAGCAAATTCAGTGTGAATTTGTGTTTGATACACCCCATTTCTCAATCTGTTGCTGCTTGTTATCAAAAGTCTCAGCAGGTGCTCAGCATGATCACAGTAAAAGGGCTCAATTCAAACCTGGCAAGTGAATTCCAGGATGCTGGTTTTCCAGATCTCCAACGTTTTCACTACCAGTACTAGTAGTGCAGAGGCTCATAGTACTACCTGGAATCAGAGAACCTTTTTTTTTTTTTCATTGTAATGAAAGCTTGTGTGTGTATCTAGGACTGTTTGATGCTCTGTTCCTGCAGAGCAGCTAGAGCTAGCCATCTCCCTGCAGCAATGAAGAATAGTCTTTGAACACTTTGAATAGCTTTCCTTCCACATGGTATTCTTTTGAAAGGCCAGTTCACTTGCAGTGATAGTTTTATATCAGTATCAAACATCTTTCTCACTCAAATGCTTTCTTACAGAGTTTGCACATATTTACAGTAACTTTCCCTTAGTTTCTTGCATTCTTACTAGTTGCCAGAATATTTGTGCATGCAAAGCACAAGGCATTTAGCACCCAGCTCATCTGTCATCTGTGGTTAATCTCCACGTTTCTTTCATGCTCGGAGCAGTGAGCATTCTGTGTGAAGATCATGCTAGTGTTAACAAAACTGTTTTGGCAGATCTGAATGGACTTTACCTATCCAAGGAGTAAAAAGTACAGTTTCAGCTTTTCCCCCCCCACTTTTCCTATATATGTTGAATATGTGAGTGTCTGTTTAAAACAAAACAAAAAAACCCGACTACCTAGAACAACTCTGGCACCAGCTGGATCTCTGAATGCAAACCCTGTCACCTCATCATGGTACCTCACATCTTGAAAAAATGTGGGTTTGAGCTAGGCAGAGAGTTTGTGTGTCTGACTTGTATCAAAAATAAGTCAAGGTTTTAGGTAAAGCAATGTTCTTAATTTTACCTTATGTCTTTGAAACAATGTGGCTGTAGGCCAGTTATTTGAAAAAAATAACTGAATTTCAGCCAAATGCAACTGGCATGTTCGCTTGAGAAGTTTATCCATTCCTGTGAATAATCTCCTCTTTTGCAATTACCGAAAGCACACTCAGCTGCACTACAGTGTAGCAGTCTAAACCTTTGTCCAGATGTCAGTAAGTTTTGACCAAATAGCCTTTGAGAGTTTATTTTGGTAAATGTGTATTTTGGTGTCGCTTGTGTGGTTGGTGAAGTAACTAGCATGGGTGTTTACCCACGCTGCAGAAAGCTTATTGAGGCTCAGGTTTGAAGGTGTCATGAGTTATAGCATCAATAACCCCAGCAGAACTGCCTTGCTAGTGAATGAATCATATTGCATGGCAAAGGTGAGATACAGTGAAGAAGTTTAAAGTTCCCACTTCTTACAGCAGCAACACACGTTTCATTTTCATACTGAGGAAAAGCTGCAACTCTAAGCTTATGGATACTGAGCAGCACCTTCTTCACAAAGTGATCTTCAGTATTTTCATTAAAAGAAAGTGCTAACATCTTGTGTTATGTTGTGTAGAGTGGGCACGCATTTATGTGGTCACATAATCCATTATTTAGAAATTAAAATAACCTTCCCAAGCCTTGAGTGACTTTCATAGTCCTTGAAATAAATACTAATTAATTTGTAATTCCTAGCTGATATTAAAGGAATGTGATGATCAGTCTCGGTCTGGACACAAGCAACCCTAGCTAGAGCAGACGTGTGTGCAGGTGCTAACTGCTTCGGTACCTCAATCATAGCTGTCTTCAGCTGAGCTGTGTCAATTCTCCCCCACCACTGTCAGAGAAAAGGTGCTTATTTTTGGTTGGGGATTTTTTAAAGAAAACAGCCAGGCTCTGGAGCTATCAGCAGTGAGTACCCATCCTGTAAGCACTTTATTTGGTCCAGCTGCCAGGCAGAACTTAGCTGCTAAAGATTAAAGATATTAAACTTGGATCTTACTGCAGATTGCTTAAACTGCTTGTTTTGGAGGCTGGATCCCCATTTCCAAGATGATGGATGCTATGCCTAAGGCTTGGTGGGGTTTCACAACAATTTTCACATGTCCTGCTGTCTCCCCTTGTTAGCAGTTGTGCAGTCTTGTCCTTTATGTGCACTCACTGGGGCTTGTCTCAGCCCCTGAAGAAGGTAGTTCAGAGATCTTAGTTAACAGGGACACTAACTGATTTTTGTTCAGTTTCCTGAAGTAGCTCGCAGCAGGGTCTGAGGAACACCCCTGCTGGCATGTAGAAGGGGTGGGAATGTTCAGCTGGGCAGGAGGTGTCTCAGTTCGCTGGAATTTCTGCCCTCCATCAACTGCATAACAGGTAACACACAGGATTTTCCGGGTCCTGTAAGGGTTGCATAATAATGCAGAGAACCAGGGATCCCTGCTTTAAGTTACCCAGACTTGTATTTTCTGCTTTTTGGTCTGTATTCCACCTCTCTGGCAGTACTCTTTACCCCAGCAGAAGTGGGGCATGCCGGCTGTGTCTGTGACATGTCATAAATTACACTGCTGCTCTTACAAGTGAGTAGACAAGAAATGGGGGTTTTAATACAAAGAGTTTATTACACTGTAAGCTAGTGACAGTACTGAGTCCACAAATACTATCTGCCTAATTTCAATACAGTGTTTTTCCATCACATTTTGCAGGGCCAGTGTGTCTTCTCTTTCCCCTTGTCTTTTCTTCTTTTCCCACATTTGATCTTTTACAGGAATTGAGCTATTTGCCCTCCCTCAATTTCAGAAGCTTCTTTGGGAGAAGCTGCATCACATTCTTAGTTTAGGGCTAACGCAGCTGTTCTCGAGATTGAGAAAGAGTAGCCCAGGGAATGTCTTCTCTTTATCTTCAAAAGTGCAGAGTTCCTGTGCTTGCTTGTGTCTCTTCTTTTAGTAGGACCATTCCTGTGTGTGCCTTCAGCAGCCAGCTTGCTTTAGAACATTGGTCTGGCTGCACTGTATGTCTGTCGGACAAATGGCTTCAGGTTCCCTTGGGTTTGGGTCACAAAGTAATTGACAACATCCTGAAGGCTTGGGAGTGTCACCTGTGTCACAACAAATAAAAAAACAAAATCCAAGAAACCCCACAAATAAAAAGCCCAGCAAAATAAAACATGCTATGTGTGTTCAGAATACCTTTTCAAAAACATGCTGACAGGCTGGTTTCAATAGCAATGTTTCTCAAACAACTGATGCTGTATTTACATCCAGCATTTGGATTGCAGTGCTCTGCAATCTATGGTAAGGTTTTGATCCTTGAACATACAGCTTCTTCCATCAGATGAGTAAACCAACCAAAAGAGAGATCACTCTGTACTGTTGTGGTTTTTCAGCAGATTGTGTAATAGCAGATGCTTTTTCAAACCAATAGGATGTTTCTTGGGCCATGAGGTAAACATGTCTTGAGAAAAGTAGGAGGAAACTGTTTTAAAACAAATATCAGGATCCATAAAGCCTTGCTTATGCTTCAACTAAGTTAAATTTATTTCTCAAAGCTACATGGAGTGCATTTTGAACACTTCTTACACCTGCTTAAAAATCTTCAATGTGGGAATTGCTCACTTACCCGTTTATCCGCTTCAATAATGTAACTTGTTCCTTTGGATGTCACTTTGTAGTGCTTTAGGCGTGGGGTACTGCAAGAAAATGGAAGTTGATATGCTGCCCAAAATGAAATACTTCCTGATGCATTGTTGTCATTACAAACTTGCAGGAGCAATGAGTGTGCTTTGTAATGTCCCTAGAGCTTTCGGAAGGTGTGTGGCAAGGTTTCTTTTTTGCCGGTTTAGTTTAGAGAATTGCAAATGTCATCCCTGATGTTTCAGATGCCTCTTGTTCTAAGCTCTGCAAAGGCTAAAACATGGCAATTCAGTTGGAACGTGATGTGTTTTTACACCAAGTTGCTGTTTGAAAGCATTTGTCTCTTTCATTTTTCATTGCTTATTTTGTAAAGGGCTACAGTTTATTCCATTTTAATTCTGTTTGATGATTTCTTAAACTAAGTAGGGTTTAATGGCAAACAGGGAAAACCCATTTACCCTGGCTGATCATGACTGATCTTTATTGCTTTTTTGTTTAATCTAATTGTGTTTGGAGTAGGAGAGAACCAAGAAATCAGATTCAGACCCAGCCCTGCTGCCTCATTTGCCTATCTCAAAATAGCCTGAAGGCAAGGCCTATGTCAATTCCAGGTATTAAGAATTGAGCTTTTAATCCAGTGCATACTAGTTAAGGATGAGATCATATATTGTGGAATCAACCTACTCCAGCTCACGTCGGATAGTGATTGCATAGTTCTTGCGGTCGCTGCCAGGGCGCAGGATCAAATTCCCACATGAAGGGTTCTTTTCTAACATCTCCATCGCTTCTTGCCGAGACACTGCATAGAAACACCTGCACAGAAGGGAGGAGAGAAGCGGCGTGAATGGGACTTACACTGGCAAGACCACATCTCCCTGACCTGCATGAAGAGACAGGGTCTACTGGGCTAACATTTCACAGTGCTAGGCTTATCCAGGGTAATTAGCTGTGGCTTTCAAGAGGCATGGCATGTGAAGGACTCTTGCTGATTAATGCTGCTGTAGGAGCATAATTCAGGACAGCAGTGCTTTGGCATTCTCAGAGAGAAAGCGAAGCTTTCATACAGGTAGGATGCCTTCTGGACCCTTGCAAAGAATGCATCCTGAACTTACCTTCAATTTCTTAATGGTAACCAGCATTTCCTCAGAAGCGCAGATACAGCAGCACAACATGTGGCCTTCTGAAAAGTTTTTTAAGCATAGCAATATGCTGGACTTGGCATAAAACAAAAGGTGCCGTAGGAAAGCCACAGGAGTAATCTACCCCTTAAGATTTCTCTATAAAGGCTTTAAGGTAGATTTTTTTTCATTGAATATTATACAACCCTTGTACAACAGCTGAATTTTGAACCTCTGCATGGAAGTAGTATTTTGTAAGAAGGGAAGGCTCTTTAGTCAGGTTGGGGTTTGCATAGTTCATTCAGAGCTTACTCTGGCATAATGGTCAGTGTACTGCTGGGAGGGCTTTTCCTGTTCAAGGATGTGCTGGAACAGTCATTAGGCATAATCCTTCTTTTATTTTCCTTTTCTAGCACTTCATGCATTCTTGTAAGTTGCTCAGGTAGTAACGACTCATCTGGTGGGACTGACAGCTGAAAATGAACAGTGTAATTGAAAAGAAAATGAAAGGGTGGACAAACACTGTGAGCAGTAATTCCTGTGTGTGTATCGCAGCTACTCTCTTGAGTGCAGCTGCTATGCAGAAATCTTTCTTACCTGCTTGTTTTAAGCACCTGTGACAATCTGAAAGGTTTGGATGTGCATCTGCTTTGAATAACATGCTGTACATGTGTTTTGTTAGACTAGTGAAAGAATACCTGTGTCCTGATTTAGAAGAAATAAGCATTGACAGAAGTGGAGTTATTTAAGAATTTGCAGTGATATTTTGCAGTTGCTTACACTGCAAAAGGCTGTGTAAATGTCATTTAACCTATTTCAGCCATCCTCAGCTTTTTAAGTGATTCAGCTAGGCCAATGTAGTAACTTGTGAACAAACTTAAATGTATTTTTCCACTGGTCATTATCAAAGAGGGTCTTGCTATTTTCAAAGTGCTTTTAGCTAAGAATAGTAGAATAAAACAGGGCTGAGGGATTCTCAGGTGTGCAGTTTGGCCATTTAATGATAAAGACCTAGAGACCTCTCCTTCTCAAAGCAGGCTCCCTTCTTCACAGCTCCAGAGAGTGGACTTGTGCTCTAAGTCTTTTCCTTCCTTGACTGTGTTTGACTAGATACCATGGCAGAGTGTGTACTGCAGGTGAGCTGGTTTTAAATCAGCCTGAATTTTGCTCTCAGGAAAAAAAAAAACGGCAACAAAACCAACAAAACCCCACAATATTTTAGTGTGTGCAAGCTTTGTGCTTGCGGAAGCCAAGTTCTGGCATGAAGTCAAAAGCCCATTACAGAGACTCTTAACATTAAGTGAGATATAAAACTCTTCCCTACCTTTGTTACAGTGAGAATAAAACCCTTCCATTCTTTCCCATATTCACAGTCATTAGCCTGAGAGAACAGAAAATGATGGCATAAGAACGACCGCAGCAACAACAAGTATGGTATTTCATGTGGAAGCTTCAAATAATTCTACTATTTTAGAAGTTGCATGCCTGGAAATGAGCTCCCTGCCAAGCTACATCACATCCAGAAACCCTGCATTTCCCCACTACTCCATGATAAATTAGAGGGAGAGGAAGGTAAAATAAATCATATGCTCTGTTGGAGTAAATGGAGAAGGTTATGTGCATCCAAGGATAAGGCCAAGCTAAGGAGATAGGTGAGTCTGAAGTACAAAACCTTCTACACCATTCCTGAGCACTACAGTCTCTAGGGCTTCTGAATTGTGGGGTGGTCAGGTATTTTAATCCCTTCTGGGTTTTACAGGTGACATGGGCCTGTCAGTGTTGTACTTCCTGGTTTCTCTTGCCCACTTCTGTGCTCATTTCATATTCCCAGATACTCCTGGCAAAAACTTCTAATGCCTTAAGGGGGAGTTTCCCTGCTGTTAGGTTCCTTTGCCCTGCCTCCCTGACTGCACTTCAGTGCTGTCTGGCTGCAGGCTGTACACTTAGATGTCAAGAAGGCAACTCTACTCCCACAACAAAATGGAGCTCTGAATATCTGTTGGAGATTGAGTAAAGTATGGAGTGAAATCACAGCTTTCCTCTTTTTACCTTCAGTTCTAGTTCCCCATTTGACAGCATCAGGATGAAGTGTGCAGAGCCATTTTCATCTGGATAAACACTGGTCACTGAGGTCAAAGATGATATATCTAATTTCTGTGAGTACTAAGGAGAGGTGGGGGGAAGAGAAATAGCACAAGTTGTAATTTTCACCAAAAATCTAGCTGCTCCCCAAAGGAATTTGTTTAGAAGAAAATAGATTGATTTTTTTTTTTTCTATAAGTTGTGTTACGTTTAACTGACAAATGTGCCGAAGCTCACTTCTTTGCTTCTGCTTATAGAAGCTCTTCTCAACTAACAACATACCTTCTAGATTTTTCCACCCTAATCTTCATAATCACAAACAGATTAAATGCATGAGTCGTCCCTGAATATTTGCTTTGTGACTCCAACTAAACCCTCAGCCAGAGTACACCATAGTAATACACCAAGTACTTTTTCCTCAGCTGCGTAAAAGAAAGTCATGGTACACACCATGATAATTTTACCCTTGTGCCACAGCTGAGGAAAAGGCACTTGGTAAAATTATGGAGCAATAAAATGGTGCCAAAAAAAGTCCTTTCTTTGTTTTGATGCGACAAATTAATGTACTTTCGTTTGTTTCACTCTGGTTGTTTTGGTCTCGGCCTTTCTGTTACAATGTTGAGTACTTTCTGTTGTTGTTGTTGACTATGCAGATGAGAGAGGAAAGGGTGCTGAGAGGTGCCTGGGGTACATGTGTATTATTTGATGAAAATAACCAATGCGTTTAATCAGATGGGTAGTTACAAAGGTAGCTCATTACTCACTGTTGGGGTTTTCTTATAATCGTAAAAAAAGAGCGTAGTTCCTCTAAGTTCTGTCCAATACACTTTAAATTCCTGTTGGAAAGGAGGAAGTGTAAGTTATGAAGACGATTGGTTTTTGTTTCCACAAAATGCTGAAAGTGAAAGAATTGCTAAAAAAACCCCCAGTGGTGTTATATTTTAGTTTTCAGTGTTTTAAAGATCATTAAAGAGCAAGTATATATTTTGGAGAAAGTTTATGCAAAAAAAGTTAAACAAATAATTCTTCATAGGCAAAAAGATACATAAGCTCTAGGCTTTTTGCGCTAGTATCCTAATCTGGCATGGAACTAGAAAACTTTACTTTTAACTAATTTAAATGTTTTAGACATTTGTCAATAGTTTGTAAAAACAATTTAAAGGGGGTACGTAATGGAAAGAAAATACATTTTAAATGTTGCTTTAAAATCTTGCTCTCCCAAAGACATTCAAGTGGAGAACAGGATGAGATAAACGTGTAAAGAATCCATCTTCTGAACACCATTCTCTTGAAGCGCCTACTTGCACTGAAATTTGATCCTGCCAATTCACTTACTATAGGGAGGAGATTATGGAGCTTGACAGTACTCTAACCTCTTAACTGGACTTACTGTTTTTGAAGTGGTATTTTATATGCTTTGTCTTTAAATTACCTGTAGTAGTGTTTGTAAATCAACACTGTGCAAAGGTAAATATGATTATCTGACTCTCCTTGCTGTTCCCTAATGCAGTCATGCCTGAGTGATGGGAAAGCTTTTCCTGGTTTTGTGTGCCTCTGATACCCTGAGAACTATAGTTATTATGGGACATTGTCTTGGGAAGGCAACTACAGAAATTTTATTTTAGTTTTCAGTTTACTTCTCTGTTTTGTGTTTGTTGTTTTGGGTTTGTTTGTTTTTTGGGGGCTTTTTGAGTGTTTTTTGTTTGTTAATTTGTTTTGAGGCAGGGGTTTAAAACACCGTCACAGAAATTGAGAAAAGAAATAATTTCTGAAGTCTGATAGGTCATACAAATTAGGGTGAGCAAAATTCCCTAAATTATCTTGCAGATGATCCTGGCTTCTCACCCTGCTAGCTCCTAACTTGTCTTTCTTGTCGTTTTTGTCAAAGTACTAGTGTAAAATTTCTATAGCATTCAGCCTCTGTACCCCAATGTCTGAGCACTGCAATGTTGCCTTAAGGTTGTTCTTGTTGACCCATCTGTCCCTGCCAAGTTTATGAAATCTGTGAATGCTTGCTGTGGTGTGGGGCTGGGTGTCATGGGGAATTTTTGACCTGCACCTGGGCTTTCTGCTCTATGGAAATGTACTAACAGTAGTTGCACCAGAGCACTTGTTACTGTTCCACAGCCAATAATATGTCTCTCAGATTGCCAGTATGTTTCATGTGTCCCACAGAAGTCTCTTCAGATCAGTTGCATGTTGTTCTGCCCTGGTACTTTTTGCTATTCCAGTGCAGTAGTTACTGAATTTCAGAAGGAGAGATTGTTCAGGGGGAGAAAAGGGTTTTACATAAATAAAGGAATGTAACAGGAAGCTTTATTAAAGTTGCTGATGTTCTCCTGTTAGATACAACAAAGCAATGCACTGAATAATTTCTAGTGCTGCAGAAGAATCAATAGTAAGATTATTAGTCTACTTTTTGTTTCTTGGAGTTCCTTTTTTCTGTGGTACCTGGTTGTTCCTATGTTTTTGAACTACCATGGTCTTTTGATTATATCTACCTCTAACACTGCGTAACTCATTTTCTTTACTCTCTCTGGGCACCTGCATCTACAGAGGTGTGAGTGTAGGTAGGGTAAAAATGACTTTGTAGCCCTAAATACAGGGATTGTCTATCAAGTGCTAAAAAAGGGCAATCAGCTTGATAAGGAACATGCTCTGAACATATATGCTATTACAACATACACAAGCATGTAGGGGTTTTCAGATTTGTGTCTTAAATAGTTATCTTGAGAAAAAAAAACCCAACAAAATCATTCTTATTTTCCCAGTTAGTCCACATATGTTAAATTATCAGCCCTTACTAATAAGAAAAAAAAAAAAAAGATGTTGAGAATCTCACATACACTTCAGGTAGCATGTCACTGAAGACTTCAGGATGGATACCATGTAAATACAGGATGCATCAGAGCAATAATGCCATGTCAAAGTTTGCTCTTGGTAAAAAAAAAAATTGCATTGACTTTCACCATGGTGGTAGCTATGAAATCAGTCAAATTCAACCCACATTTCTCTAGGTAGTAAATTATAATGGGATCCTGGAGATATTGATGGTTACAATCCATAATTAATTTTACTTCCCTCTCCCCCAAGTAATAAGAACAGAAATAACTAAATACTTTGTTTCAGTGCAACCATTTGTGTCAACCAGTGGCAAGAAACATTTCCCACCCCATCCACCCCCCAGGCCTTTGAATAAATATTGCAACACATTCATTTCCCCAGCATTCTTGCCTTACCTGGCAGCTTGAGTGCCGGACAGACAGGTAACCTTGGAAGTACAAAGGCAGGCCCGTGATCCTCTGCCTCTCCTGGAAGATTCGCCGGGGAGCTGGCTGAGGAGTTTCCTCAGGCTGTTCCCTCGTGCCCCTCAGCATCCTTTGGAAATCTCAGCAGGATGTTAAATCATCTGAATATCTTCAGTTGCTGTGCTCTCTTCCCCTCTCTGCCTCTCCTGTTGTTCTCGGTTTGCTCAGTATAAGCCTCAGCCAAGAGGCAAACTCACCCTGGTGAGAGGGGGGAAGAAGCAGCACCTCGAGGAGGAAGTCTCCGTTCCGTCCTTGCTTTCAGGTCAGCGCACGTCGCGGACTCTGCCTGGTGTGTGATCACGGGGGGAGCCAGACTGGGTGGATTGAAAGGATCTCCTCGATTATCTTGAGAGGAGACACTGACATGGTGGGCGTGCTGGTACAAAAGGGCATCATTTCAGTGATGGGTATCTCCTGGAGGTCATGATGGAAGAGCCTGCTTTTCATGGCTGGCAGCACTGGGCTGCCCTCAGCTGCCTCCAAAATAGTACTGAAATTTTCACTGGGAACCTGGATTAACAAGACTATCAGAGTGGAACTTGCTTTAGCAAATGGCTAGGAGGATTACAAGGACTCTAAAAGTAATATTGGAAATAAATGTACCTGTGGTTGTTTATAACTGGCAAGGATAAATCAACTTGCACAACACTGTGCATGCAGGATTTTGATTTTAATTGTAAAAGTGCTAATATACCAAAGCCTTGGCAGAAGTTGTGATAGAAGATGGTAGTTCAGGAAGAAAATGTTGGTCCTGATGACATGAGGGGTGAAATTTCCATCAGTTTCACAGCACCATGATGTTGCATTTAGTTTCTGGCCTTCACGTTAGTGTCATAAAGAACAGAAATGACAAGACTTAGACTCACAGAATCATGGAATAACTGGGGTTGGACGGACCTTTAAGGTTATCTAGTTCCAACCCCCCTGCATGGAGTTACAATGCTCATTGCTTCTAAATGCAAAGCAGACGTATTTAGTAATAATTTTAAAAGCCATGGTCTTTGTCTGCCTTTTCTGCTTCTCAGCAGTGTAGGATGGTACGTAAGGAGCCCGGTGAGGTGACCTGCGATACATCAGGGACCTGCTAAGCAGCTCTCGCACAAGAGGGGTTCAGCCCCACACATGGAAGTAAATTCCCCACGTCGTCTCTAAATATGGCTGGGCACAGGGCCGTTTTCTCAGGTTTTTGCCTGAATTGCGGATTTCGGTACACGCTCTCTTGCTGATGGCTTTTAAATGTCAGAATCCGACTTAGCTTTCCTGCGATGTTTATCAGCAAACGAACGTGGGTGCCTGCGCCTTCCATTGGCGAAGCTGAAGATGACAAGTCAGCCTTTACTCCGTTGTTTTGCCAGCGCGTGGTAAAAAAAAACAACCCACAATTTAAAACTGTGTTTTTGCGCCGCCTTTTGCGGAGGCTGCAGGCTGCGGTGGCGCTGCGCTCCCTAGAGGCGAGGTTGGGCTCCTTGGGGGCTTCCTCGGGCACGTTGGAAACAAGGAGCTGCAACCGCCGCCTCCCCCCCCGGCAGCGCCGAGAGACCCTGAGGGGCGGAGGCGGGGGAGGGGGGTGTGTGTGT